CACTGTATGTCATAAGCTATCTGCTTGCAAAATTTCATGCAAATCCGTTCAGACTTTTCCGCGTATTAATTTAATTAAACTTTTTTTAGCAGGTGGTAACTCTTAAAAAAAAGTAGCCTATTTTTCAGCCCAGCTCATAAGCTATCTGTGTGAAAACTTGCATGCAAATCAGTTCATTAATTTCCACGTATTAATTAAATTAAACATTTCTAACAGGTGGCAACTCTTAAAAACAGTAGCCAACTTTCTAACGTAGGGCATAAGCTATCTGTGTGCAAAATTTCATACAAATCCGTTTAGTCGTTTCCGCGTATTAATTTAATTAAATTTTTTTAACAGGTGGCAACTCTTCCAAAAAATTAGCCTTTTTCTCACTGTAGGTCATAAGCTATCTGCTTGCAAAATTTCATGCAAATCAATTCAGTCGTTTCTGCGTATTAATTGAATTAAACTTTTTTAACAGGTGGCAACTCTTAAGAAAAGTAGCCTATTTTCCAATCTAGGTCATAACCTATCTGTTTGCAAATTTTCATGCAAATCCATTCAGTCGTTCCCGCATATTAAATAAATTAAACTTTTAACCAGGTGGCAACTCTTAAAAGAATAGCCTATTAACCAATCTGGCGCATAAGCTGTCTGCGTACAAAACTTCATGCAAATCCGTTCAGTCGTTTCCCCGTGATGATTTTCCAAACATCCAAACATACAAACTTTCACATTTATAATATTAGTAAGATTAGTAAGATTAGTAAGATAAGATAGTAAGACTAGTAAGATTAATTTTTGAATAATGAATTAAAAATATCCTATACAGGATTTTTTCAGCTAACCCACTCGCGAAGTATTTATTAACACGTTAGATTTCATTCAAAATAGATTTGATCCATTACACAGCTGCCCTTGTCGGATCTTAGACTATTAGGAGGTTTACGAGACTACTTCTTTATGAGTACTTTGTTATTGCACGTTTTGAAAAAATGTGGGATGACTTTTATAAGAGTACTCCCTTGTTGCTTGTTTGAGAGGAATATGGGATATTTTTCTATGCGCACTCTTGTGTTAAAAAGCATCCAGCCAAGCGTCGATTGCAAACGTGATTGTTTCAATGGGAGTGCGTATAATAAAGAGCAAAGCGTACAGACACATTTGTAATCGTTGTTTTGTTCGCCGATCCACCATGTGCTTTCTCTTAGGACATACAATGTTAAGGGGGTATACGAAATTACATGTTTACCCTGCAAAAATCGTTTGGTCTATTTGTTGTATATTGGAGTACTTACAAAAGTGTTCCGCTGTCATGCTGTAGCGGACCAACTCGTGTCTCTGCGCCAGCTTATTGTTTGTTACCTGATCACTGCTCGTGTTTTAACGAAATGTGATTGGGTTGAGCATTTGAAAGCACATTTGCATGTCTGCCTGTAGCTGAACGTGTAGAGATGCTCGCTGTTAGTTGTTAGCTCCCAACATGTTCGGGTTCGAATGCCGTCAGAGGTAACAAGTAATTTTTAATTTTTGTTTTTGGTTTTTATTAATTTCGAAAAAGCATCTGAGAAGTGAAGAACAAAAGCGTGCGCAAACGAAATAATATAACAACAATGCCATTGTTAATATGTTGGAGTAGTTTTGTGCTACTCTGATGTACTGCAGGGATGGAGTATATGGTCCTGCCCTAGGCCATCGTAATGTTAATTGGACCATATTTTTTATATGAATTGTGGTTAATTTTGGAGTAATCCTTGGTCCTTAGGGAGTACTCTTTACACGCGATAGTCGCAGGGTATATACAGAAGCAATGAGTAGTATTCTTAAACTCCCAATTGCAGCAATCGTACGATGCTCACAAGTTCTATTGGGATATAGTGGCTCATATAAATATATTGGACCTAAAAAAAAAAATTTTTTAATTTCTCTTTTTGTCTTATTATCTGGAGATAGATGACAATAAGAATTTTATACAACGTTATTTATTTTTGTAAGGTTAACTAAAATTTTAATAATGTGCAACAGATGCGCATATTCCACAAAATTTATTATACTTAAAGTGCTTCTAAAACCTGTTCCGTATATTTTTAGATGAAGACGACTATGACACTGATGATCCTGTTGAAAGTGACAATGAAATGGAGGATGAAGACGATCCTACTGAACTTAACAATTCTGCAAAAATAAATTACCAACAACCAAAGTGCAATACCGAACATTTAAATCCTTCTTCATATTCCTGGAGTATTTTACGGTTGGCCATTATTCAACTTATTTCCTCCAAAATTCAGGATTTTGTAAATGTTTCTGGTATAGAAATTCAAGGTAGCGTATACGGTTACATATGTATGTATATCTTTATGTTTGTAGGTATTGATACATATGGGTAAATTCACGTCAAATGTCCCAAGCGCGGCGCAAAACAAGCTACTTTCGACTAACTGGGAAGCAGATAGAAAATGGTGGGACAAAATCTAAAACTATGATATCCATACATTTTTGTACGGGTTAGACGACGGAGCCATGCGTTTTCCAAAATTTTTCCGTTTTCATGGTGAAAATTGAGACAAAAGCTTATTTGTAATTTTTTCCAATTATAGTCTTTTTTAATTTTGTTTATAGTCATCTGAATCGAAAGATCAGGTAGTTTTACATAGAAATCATTAATAACGCATAGTACCATCGGATAGCCCGTACAGAAATCTATAGAAGTCATAGTTTTTGAATTATTTTTCCCATTTTCTGTCCGCTTCCCAGCTAGTCGAAAAGTAGCTTGTTTTGCACCGCTGGTACGCTTGGGACATTTGACGTGAATGTCCCCATATGTATATTTAAAAAAGCCTCATTCCTTTTAAACCGACATGCGATTGAGCAGGGTCGGGAGAAAGAAAGCTATGTGAGCGAACTCGAACACCTTTGCGGAATTTTTATTGATTCATATTTTAATTAAACATTCATACATATGTACATATGTACGCATATTAGAGTGGTTAGAAAAAAACTTCCTAATTTCAACTGAGAACTTTCGGATTCTTGAAGATAGTAGGGAAAACAAGTTCCTCCTAAAACTTAAGCTTATTTGAACAAGATTTAGAAGAAAATGCAGATTTTATGTGCATCTTTATAAACAAATAAGTATATTTTCCTCAAACCTTACCTTTGGTTGAAATTTTCTAGTATGTAGGAATGTATGGAATTAATAATTAAGTTTTGCCTTATAAACAATTAATATTTGCAATAGTTCTTTTTTTTTGTTAACCACTGAGCGTATACTTAATATAAATAAAATTTTATTGGAATTAATAATTAAGTTTTGCTTTATAAACAATGAATATTTGCAATAATTCCTTTTTTTTGCTTGTTAACCAGTGAGCGTATACTTAATACAGCTAAGATGACATTCTAATTTATTTCAATAGGGGACCTCATCATTAAATATTATTATATACCAAATAAAAAATCAGCAGATAAACATCACTATACGCCCTGTTGAATACTAGTATTTTCCTAGCAAATGTAATGGCAAGATGTGGCAGGTCATCCAACAAGTTTTTGACGAAAATATTTGTTTATAAAGATGTTATTAAAATCCGCGGTTTTCAGAAAATAAATAACAGCGTTAAAGTGACCTAAATCTTGTTCAAATAAGCTTAAATTTTAGGAGGAACTGTTTTTTCCCTATTAACTTCAAGAATCCGACCGTTCTCAGTCGAAATCCAAATAGTTTTTTTTTAAATCACCCTAACGCACTTATATATTAAATGTAACAAAAAGTGATTTTCAACGCGAAGGCCTCGATTTAGGTAAAATTTTACACATGGTCGAATTTAATTCTAAAACTAACAAATTAACTTAGTTTTCTGAAGTAGGTTTTAAACTTTAGCTGCCCTTCAATCAAAGTTTTATACCCGAGCGCACTTGTGCACAAGGGTATATTAACTTTGTCCGCACAACGGTTGTTTGGTACAGCCAAAACGAGTCGAGATAGATATGGACAAATGTATACATAAAAGCTCAGAATGAAAAGAGAAATCGATTAAGCCATGTCTGTCTGTCCGTCCGTCCGTCTGTCCGTGTACACGATAACTCGAGCAAAAATTTAAATATCTCAACAAAATTTGGTATGTAGGTTGACCTTTATCCGAGGTACGTTGGTGTTGAAAATGGGCGAAATCTAAAAATGAAAATACTACGATATTTCATTAAATATTAGATGCAATTTATTGAAAATTAGTATGTGAAGTAGAACTGTGTTAAAAAATAATATTATAAAAATTTTGGAAAATGGGCGTGACCCCGCCCACTTATAATGAAATGCTGTATCTCAGTAGCCGCTTCACTAATCCTTACCAAACTCAGTACGGGCCTTGGGTAGGACGTAGCTAAGAAATTTGTTGAAATCGGGCAATAACCACGTCCACCTGCCATATAACGGAAACACGAAAACTGCGATAAATCAGTAAGTACTAAACATCTGCGCAATTCCATTTAAACAGCCTAACAAGACATCCGATCGCCGCGCAAATACTTTTCCTCCTTTACTCTTATCGCTCCAGTCAAGTGTGAGTAAGCATAAACCAGTTTCTGCAAGCGTAACTGCCCGTCTCCACAGGATAAAGTTTATATCTTGATACATATGTTAGAATATAAATAGCCAATGGAGACCGCTCATTGCTCTTCAAGAGCAATATATATCAGAGCTTATATCTTGCCATCTATTGCCGGCAATTTGGTAGTTTGACAGCTACACTTTCATTTGCACGAAAAATTCGTGGCTGCAACATCATTATTATTTTAATATAAAAGCAAAAATTTAGCTGTTTCCTGTTAAAATATTTGTAATTATGTAGTTGGATGTAAAAAAGCCTATTTTCTAAATTTTTAAAGCGATTGAATCGCTATCTTACAAATGCTTATATCAAGATATAAAAAGCCCACACAAATATTGCCACTGATATAACTTATATCTAGCGACCAAAATGACAGCTGGGCAGCAATAAATTTTATCCTGTGGAGACGGCCAGTAGGTAAACTACCGATCAATAGTAAGACGCGTAGAGTATTTACTTTGCCTTCCGCAACTACTGCGCGTAAAAGGTATTTGTAAGTAGTGTACTCTTCTGGTAGTACTTGAGTATTTTCGACGAAAACATACATTTGTGGTATCTGAATAAAACTAAGGACAGGAATGTAGTGGAGCGATGAAGATAGCGACAAGCAAAACGTACTGTCAACTAAAATGCTGATATACATACTTAACACATATGTATGTATGTGGATAGATATGTACATATGTGCGTAGATACATATATAAGTGTCCGCCTATATTTTTTTCTCGTCACTTGATCTCTCATTCACTGCAGCAAAACCAAGTTGTGGGGCAAACTCTGACGAAATGCGTACAATTTAAACCATGGGTTTGAAGATTGCGCTAATTGATGTGAAACTTTCAATTTCATATTAAATATATTTATGTATGCATGTGTGTTAAAATGTAGTTTCGATTTAAAAAAAATCGGACAAAGTTTTTCTTTCGCCATTGGGTTATGCAGACAACTATAATCGTAAAA